TAGGTGAATGGATACAACAGTGTGGCACCTCCACACAATGGAATATTATACAGCAATAAAAAGAAATGATCTGTCAAGCCATAAAAATATATAGAGGAACCTTAAATGCATATTGCTATGCAAAAGAACCCCATCTGAAAAACATACATACTGTATGATTCCAACTATATGACATTCTGGGAAAGGCAAAGTATAGAAACAGTTTAAAAAAAAAAAGTGGTTGTCAGGGTTAGTTGGGAGAGAGAAGAGATGAACAGGTGAACCCCAGAGGGTGTTTTAGGGCAGTGAAGCTACATGGTGCTGTAAGTCAATACCTTTGTCAAAGCCCATAGAACAGTATAACACAGAGTGAGCCCTGGTGTAAACTACAGACTCTTGTTAACAACAATGCATCAACATTCATTTGCCAATTGTGACAGATGCACCGCACTGATGCAAGGCGTTGATGATCGGGGAAACTGCAGGAGTGGGATGGGGGAAGGGGGAGGTATGAGGGAGCTCAGTTTTACTATAGACTTAAAAGTGCTCTAAAAATAAAGCCTATTAATTTTTAAAAAGTAGATTAACAATTTAAATTTGCTTAATTTATAAATAAGATTTAAATAGCAGGAATGTGTATAACTTTTAAGAGTAAAAACACTAATATAAAAATCCTTTTATTTTTTATTTTTTGAGACAGAGTCTTGCTCTGTCACCCAGGTTGGAGCGCAGTGGTGCAATCATGGCTCACTGCAGCCTCAACTTTCCAGGCTCAAGCGATTCCCCTGCCTCAGCCCCACAAGTAACTGGGACTACAGGTACACACCACCACACCTGGCTAATTTTTGTATTTTTAATACAGACATGGTTTTGCCATGTTGCCCAGGCTGGTCTCAAACTCCTGAGTTTAAGTGATCTGCCTGCCTTGATCTCCCGAAGTGCTGGGATTACAGGCATGAGCCATTGTGCCCGGCCTGAAAATCCTTTCTTTAAATACCAAACAGAAACAAAGTTGCCAATAGTAAGTGCACAAGAAATACTAAGTTATGTGGGACTGTACTGTGGCACTAGTGCAGATGTAGTCAGGGAAAAGCCAAGATAGCTCTGAAGCAAATTATTGTAAAAGATTGCAACCAAGACATCAAAAACCAAAACAAAAAGAAATAACAGAACAACACTTCCCGCAACCCCTCCACTGCGACCCCCCACCACAAAAAAAAAAACCCAGGAAGCATGAATAAAATGACAGATGCAAAATGTTACAAACAGATCACATAAATATCAAGATGTCAATTCGCCAATTAAATGCAGAGATCCTCAGACTGGCTTGGAAAGCACAGCCAATAATACAGCCTTTAGAAGGAATCATCCTAGCACAAACTGGCGTAAAGGCTAAAAATAGAGGCTGGGCAAAGAGGAACCAAATAGCATTTAGAAGCAAGCAGGGAATTGTACAATGATGCACACTGCCCATGTCTTCTTTGCTCACTTCCCAACTCCCTGAATTTAGCTGAAAAAAAAGTATTTTTAAAGGCCTGTTGGAGCATGAAAATAATGATTCCATTTGTGGACTAATTTCTGATGCCTCTGAAGGAAGTCTGAAGGCGGCAGGAGCAGCTCGCTGTGGAGGAGGGGCTGGGATGCAGGAGGGCACTCGGGACCCTCCTTCCAGGGTGACCCCTCTGCCCCATGCTTGCAGCTCCACCAACCTGACTCGTCCCCTCATCCCCGGAAGCTAAAGGGAGGGGCCTGGCCAAGGCTGGGCGTCAAGTGGCTTGTGGGAGAGGGAGGGCCCTGCACCAACGGGGATGCGTGGCACCAGCTGAGGCATTTCTCCTGGCCACAGCTGCTGGATCCTGTCACCATGTGTGCAGCTCCCGTGGGACCTGGTCCCACGGTCACCACAGGAGAGCGCAATTGGGATGGGTGCAGGACAATGAGTGATACCGTAAATAAATGAAACATCTCCCTTCTATATTCAGAATTGTAGCCACCTTCCTAAGAAAGTAAAAAGACATATGAAAGACTGTTCAAACTCAGTAGTAATCAAGAAAATACAAACGATAAGTTTCACACATACTAAGCTGGTGATGAGAACACTGCTCACCTTTCCTGTCAAAGTTTTGAGAAATAAGAGTATCAGTAAGTTCTCACTGAGAATACTAATAAGTTATCACCAGCAGCGAAAACTGACCCGATGACTCTTTTGGTAAAGAATTTGGCAGAATGTTTCAAGAGTCATGGAATTCTTTACTTTTTGATGCAAAACTTTTTTTTTTCCCCCAAATTTTTAACCTAAAAGATAATCAACATAAAAAATAATATAAGGAAGAAAGCCATAAGCACAAAGACACTATATCTCTCTCTATATTATATATTATAGTTTTAAAAAACATTCGAATGTTACATAAATATATGATAAATATGTAAATGTTGATATATGACACAGAATCATAGAATCCAGTTATAAACGAGTGCAAGAGTTTTGGTAAAATATAATATGTAACAGAACACTTTATATTACAATCATAATTATGAACAATAGAGTAATATGGAAAGTGGTTTATGAGTGCATATTAAAAGCAGACGGCGGGCCTGGTGTGGTGGCTCACACTTGTAATCCCAGCACTTTGGGAGTCTGAGGCAGGCAGATCACCTGAGGTCAGGAGTTCAAGACCAGCCTGGCCAACATGGTGAAACCCCGTCTCTACTAAAAATACAAAAATTAGCTGGTTGTGGTGGTGAATGCCTGTAGTCCCAGTTACTTGGGATGTTGAGGAGGGAGAATGGCTTGATCCTGGGCGGCGGAGGTTGCAGTGAACCAAGATGGCACCACTGTACTCCAGGGTGGGCGACAGAGGCACTCCACCTCAAAAGAAAAGAAACAAAATAAAATAAAATAAAAAAATAAAAGCAGATGGCTGCACAACAGAGGCAATGTAGGACCATGTAAATTACATCTCTGTAAATTCTGTAAAAAGCAGAAAAGCAACATGGGGAAGGAATGAATGAGTGTATTTGGGGGTGTGACATGTGGCTGAACTCCGCCTCCTTTGAAGCAGCAGCAGTATATTTTGCATAAATTACCCTGGGCAGACAAAGGCCTGTGCATGTCCCTCCAGGCCTCCTTCCCATGCTTCCTTCCCAGGCCCGCTGCTTGCCCCTGGTTTTTGTTCATACCCCATCCCTGGGACAGAGGCTCCTGGGGCATCCCCAGAGCAAGAGTGTGTGGAGCTCACAGTAGGTGCTGAGTGAACGTCTACTGAGCAGACCCCAGCCTGGGATGTTACTGATGTGTGTTTAGAGACCCACTGTCCTGTTCACATTCCACTAGCAACAGATTTTAAGGAGCACACTTTCTTTTAAGGACATGAAGATTTTATTTCATAAAAATCACAACATATTTTCACAACTTAGTGTCATCTTCTACTATAAACTAAACATGTAATTCTTTCCAATTTCTTATTTTTGGCCAAATTATGTGTAGATAATAAAAGTACTGCGGAAGCCAAAACATAGAGCCTATAAATAAAGTGCACAACTTTCATTCATTGGAAATAAAAGGTTTAGACAGCTTTTGTTCTTTACTTATCTTGAAATATTAGCTATATAGATGAATATGGCAACAGTTAAAAAAACAAATAATTCCATCTAAAGTAAAGATAGTTCCTTACTTGATTTCTTTCACTAGAAACTAAATAAGGAGAAATATCCAAGTGTAAATTGTAGGAATACAGTGTTCTCACTTCTAGGTGCTCACGGGTGTGATGAGGGTCTGCCACCGTGGTCCACGTGACCTGGTTTCTGGGGTCACAGGAGCCTGGGGCAGTGGCTAAACATGGGACTTTAGTCCACACTAAACATGGGACTCTTCGCTGAACAGCAGCCTTGGCCTGCAGCAGCCAGGTGTGCCTGCCACAGCACGGGTGCAGGGGCCACACGCAGGGCCCGTGGCACTGTCACCATGTGTCAGGTGGCTGGTGCAGCACGGGCCTTGCCTGACAGAAGAGCAAAGGTTCACCCCTGCAGACATACTGCTCCCTGCCCACCCTCCCCATGCAGGAGAGGCCTGCAGATGACTGGTCCACTCCAGGTGACCAGGGGAGAGTTACATTAAGAAGCCACCAGGCGGGATGCAAAAGGGCACAAGCTCCATGGAAAACTCACTTGGAAACAAGGCAGACAGGGCTGCGGAGGGGCTGAATGGAATCATGGTCACAGTTTTAAAGGAAGACTTTCCAGTATGAAAACCAGGTTTGAATGTCTCACCCACATTTCACAGACACCACGGGTGCTCTCGGCACAGTATGAACCTCATAGCCCGTATCTCAGTGGTGTCTTAATTCACATCTGTGATCCCAAACCTATGTTCCACAGGATCATGTCCACACACAGGTCCATAACGATTATCCCATCTCCTCTGGGGCTGAGTCTGAGTCCATAAATTTCCCTCAACACAGACAACATGGCTATCGCCAGCCCTCCCTCTCCAGGTCAGTGGGGACTCAGCGTGGGTCACCCTCGCGGTGACCAGATGGAGCGCAGGGTGCTACCTGCCACGTGGTCTGCCCAGTAGAAACTGAGTAGAGTGCCTGTGAGTCATGAGGAAGGCTCCGGGGAAAGTGGTGTCTTGGAAAATGCCCTCCATTTTCCACCTGGACACCAGGCACTGCAGGGACATGACCAGCTCCTGTGGCCCAAGAACCACCAAGGAGGCTCGCACACAAGGAAAGAAGGAGGGCATCTTAAGGCTGAATTGGGGTCCAAAGAGGCAAAACTCACAGAGGATGGCCAAGAAGCTCCCCCAAGCACTGGCACCATCGGGCGGTCTCAAGGCCCAGAGTGGCTCTTGATGTGAACAGAGGGGACCCCCCAAGGACAGGGCAGAGAGGTCACCCTCACCTGGAGAGTCAATGACTCCCGCCCACGGCTTGAGCTCGGCTTGGGCAGGGCCCAAACTGATGACAGCACAGGTTGGCCCACGCTGGCACCACCTATGGAGACACCACGGCTGGCGCCAACTGTGGGGAACTCACCAGTGAATTCAGACCCTGAGGACTCCTCATGCTCTTCCCCACACACCCCCAGCTGCCTGCACCTGACTGTCTGGGGGTGCATGGGGACCTGAACCACCTCTTTGGCCCTGAGTCCCCAAGTCCCACCAAGGCACAGAGGCTGAATGTCCCTTCCTGGGGCTGTGGGACCTGAGTGTCCTGGCCTCGCTGGGTCTGGTGCTCAGTGACGAAGGGAGGCTCAAGGGCACCATCACCGTCAGGCCACTGTGTCCTGGGAGTCCCCAGAGGGAGTCACTCAGCCCACAGGTGGACGTGAGGCAGGAGGGCCCACGCTGGCCTGGGTATCAGGCTGCTGGACTCAGCAGTGTGCTCTGACAGCCAGAGTCACGGGAGGACGGCTATCTCAGGGCCATAACACCCAAGTCCAGACAGCGGCAAGGAGAGGGTCCCACGGGCAAAGATGCGGCGTTTCATTCCTTTTTGGGGGGGCGGTGTTCTGAGTGCAGCCTGGCCTGGTTGGCAGCCTCCCGGCTCACACGGCTGACAGGTCTATGCGGTGGGCAGAGTGGCTGCTCTTGTCCCAGGGGCTGAGCTTGGTGGAGGCCGTGCCTGGCCGGGCCCCATTCATCTGCAAAGCATAAACGGATGAGCAGTGAAGGGCCTGCTCCCGGGGGAGAGCCATAAGCCCAGTGAGCACGGAGAGCACTGGGCCCACAGCTGCCTGAGGATTCTCCCTGCGGTGGGGCAAGGTGCATCTCCTGGGGGAGATGAGGATGTGTACACCGTGGCATCTCCACCCGCAGAGTTCTCCACACTGACCTCCCTTCCGGCACCATAAGCATGCTGTGCTGAGTGCTCACTCCCTCCTCTGCTCACCCATCCGCCCGGCACCCACGCTTTCACCCCCGTGCATCTGTCCATGCTGGTATCATTCCATGGTGAGTCATGGAGCGTGCCACGCACCTGGCACAGTTGTAGCTGTGGGGCTAGAGCAGTGCATGAGCCAGCCAGCTCCCGTGGAGCAGGACAGACATGGTCCCTAAGCAAATGGAAAACCACACAGCTGTGGGTGGAGGCGGAGTGCGAAATTGGGTGGGAGCACCTTGATTGAGCACCATGTGCGGGGAAGGACTTCTGAGGATGGGACACTGGAGCAGGCTCCAGCAGGTGGGAAGCAGTGGCGCAGTGAGAACCCTAACAGGGCTGGCTCCAGACTGCCTGGGGGCCTGCCTGGGCTCTGGAGGGCAGCAGGGATGGGCCACCTCATGGTCAGTTGATCTCTAAGTCCTTCCATCCCTAAGTGAACACAAGAAGCCCTGACCCTTCAGGGTCAAAGGGGAGGGCTGTGGTGACTTCATCAGGACACAGGGCACTGTGTGGGGGACATGAGCCCAGAGCACGTGCAGCCTGCGGGCCGGAGTCAGGCAGGAGAGGGGGACAAAGACTGCTGGGCACCCGAAGCCACCTCTGCTGCCTGCATACCCCATCCTGCTGATGCACACCCCATCCTGCTGCCTGCACACCCCATCCTGCTG